TTATTATATATTTCTTAATTCAACACCCGTATAGTACATGAGTATTGTACTAGTATATTTTTATTGTAAAGTATGCTAAATAAACTAAAAATCCTTATAATGAAAATTAGAAAAATCTTGATTATAGAAGGGATTAAGTTTTTGGTATTTGCTAAATCATAGGTATTTAATTAGTTTACATAATCAAATTCTAATAAAACATGTGTGTATATTTTGTAAAATATTTATACACTATTTCATTTTAAATTTATTTACATATTTTAAATTGATAAAAAGAAAAAGAAGACGTACAACTTCTATAACTTTTATAAATAATAATGATATTATATGACAACAAAGTTTATAATAAAATAATAATTAAGTATTACATGGTGAACAATAATAAATAAAATTGTTATTTTCTCTTATATCAAGGAATAAATATATATATTAAAATCAAATTTATATTAGTATACATGTGTTAGTGAGATAATATTAATTATTTTACAAGCTAGCCCTATAATATGCTTATATTTAATATTCTGGCTGAAAAAACAACGCTGATCTAAAGAGGCGAAAAATAGATTATAAAAATGACATTTTTTAGACTTAACGCTGATTAAAAAAAGTGAAAAATAAATGATAACCTATTGCCTTTTTACTTAAACGGATAGAACCTATAAAAATAACTCATTTAATATTTCTGTCTCGTGCATCGCGCGGTGTACGTAATTAAGAAATATATTCTTTTATGGAAAATAAATTTAAGAATGAAAAATCACTTGGATGGGATGAATAAAGTATAAAACAAATGTCAAATATACAAACTTTTTGAATTATAAATTATGTTTTTCACAAATTACAATTCATTAAATGTTTTAACTAATTTGAAATATATACTCACATATAAAAATACTACGAGAAAAAAGTTATGTATCCGTCAAGTACAAAGTCTTCATATTATAATAATGCTTAAAAGTACATCAAATAAAATAGTTGAAAAAGGAAAAGCTCTTAGTAATTTGCAATATTTTATATGAACTAATAAAAATTGAATGTGAAAATGAGTGAGATGTAGGCGGTATGGTGGTCGGTTAATCCGCGTGGAAAAGATTTGGTGATTTACTCCACACAGTTACTTCATCCAATCTAAAGGCTTGTATTAAATTTTAGCAGCTAATGGCTGACCGTAGCCAGCCCCCTTTATTTTAATCTATACTTATATAATAAGGGGTACCATTTACGAAATTTAGTAAGTTGAAAAGTCAATGCAATAAATGCATTACTATTTTGAACAATATAGTATAATATCATATTTATACTTATATAAAAGGAGATTCTTTTTACTACATTTACTATCCATAAAAGTCAACTGCATTAAATGTCATTACTATTTTGATATTATAATATTTTATTTATTTAATTAATTTATTTATTTGTTTTATTTTAAAAAGTTAAGTATAATAAAAAGATTTTAATAATAAAAAAATTAAATACCAAATAAAAATGTACACTTTGACTTATTTGATTATACCAAATATATTCCTATTTAATATATACATTAAATACTTACTAAAGTATTTATTTGTTTTATTTGTCAAAGTTAAGCATATATAATATTTTATTTATTTAATTGATTTATTTATTTGTTTTATTTTAAAAAGGTAAGTATAATAAAAAGATTTTAATAATAAAAAAATAAAATACCAAATAAAAATTTACACTTTGACTTATTTGATTATATTTGGTATTTGATTATACCAAATATATTCCTATTTAGTATATACATTAAATACTTACTAAAGTATTTATTTGTTTTATTTGTCAAAGTTAAGTATAGATTTGTTTATATTATCAAATCATAAAAAAATATTAAATCCATATTGTAAAATAAAAAAAATCATATAATTTTATAACAATTCTACTACACTATTTAACAATATTTCTTTTTTATTATATAATAAAATAATAATTAAATATTATATGGTGAACAACAATAAGTAAAACTGTTACTTTCTCTTATATCAAGGGATAAATTTATATGCTAAAATTAAATTTTTATTAGTATAAATGTTTAGTGAGATAATATATTAATTATTTTACAAGCTAGCCCTAACATGCTCATATTTAATGTTTTTAAAGATGTAGAAAAAAACTTATAATAACTCTATTGTTTTTTAGACTTAAACGTTGATTAAAAGAGGTAAAAATTCCTAATTTTTTAGACTTAAACGTTGATTAACACCATAGATTGAGAGTCTATATTTAGTAAAATTCTTAATTGTAATAAAAAAATTAATTTTTGCTATATTTTAGAATATCTTTAAATTCATTGTAAAAAGAAAAAAGAAAAAAAAAAACTACAATGAAAAAAGCAAGTCAGCTATATATCGATTTGTTGTACTCCTCAAATCACATTCACAATTTGGCAAGAAAAGGAAACTCATTGATTAAAATATTATTTTGTCAGTAGTCTTAATGTACAAGAGACTTTAAGACTCCACTTGAATATTATAAAACTTTTATTGAACATTGTATAATTTTCTTGCGTATTATAAACTTTTATTGAATATTGCATCTTATAATATAATATTCTCCAAATAAATATATCCCGTGCTTCACACGGGTCACGTACTATATATATCCCGTATATTTTTCTTTATTCATGTATATAATTATAAACCTGGATAAATAGCCTTAAAATTGTGCACCCCGTGCATGGCACGGGCTCTGCACTTGTTGTTTGCAACAAATCGTTAGCATAATTTTTTATAACTGTATATATAACTGTATTTTTCACGGCAAAATGTATGAAAATACAATAAGAAATATATAGTTACACATGTTACACTGCACTCAAACCAAATTGTTGAAAGGACTCATGTTTGACAAAGATTTTTGGTTGTGTAGTGTTTCGTGGGAAATCCAAATAAAGAAAACTGGCAAGAATCTTTTGCCATTAAATAAATAACGAGCAAATGAGTAGAGATGAGCGAAGCACGTTCACCTTCGGTCCATTTTGAACTGGTTTTTAGATCCCAAAATCACTCGTCTCTCTCCTACTCACCTTTTGCCAGCTCTGCTCCTCTGCATCAACATTTGCTCGCCCATTTCCCATATTTGGTGTTTTCAAAATAAAAATACTGTTTTTTTTTTTTTTTTTTNTTTTTTTTTTTTTTTTTTTTTCTCTTTTACTTTTCCCATTCGAAGTTAACCCGTCACCTGTGCTTGTTTCCGCTTTCTATATATAGCTTTCATGTTACATGCATATATGCTGAATATCCACTAATTGGCAATAATACTCTTCAGGCCGCTTTGGACATCGAGAGCTATTCTGAGATAGGTAGTAATAACAATACTCTTTACCTTTTCTCGTTTGATACCAATATATGCATTGTTCAAATCTTCTTTGTTGATTTATGATGTGCATTGATTCCAGACTTGATTAGGATTTTTATTATTAGATTTGTGTTTTACATTCACGTGTTGTGTCCTTGATCTTATGAGAATATTTTATTAGATCAATTTCGCATCTATTTGGATTGTCTGTGATTTGGTTAAATATTGTGTTGCCTATTTGTGTGGATCAGATTTTGCAACAGGGGTTGATTAAGCAAGAATGAAGGGAGCTGTTCTAGTAGCGATTATAGCTGCCATTGGCAACCTTTTGCAGGGATGGGATAATGCTACTATAGCTGGTATGTTTTGAGAATATTCCAATGATTTCTTAATTTCCTTTTGTCCTAGATAACTAATAGATATTAGTCTGGTTGTTGAAATTCAATGCATGTTTCGTTTCAAGATTGGTCTTATTAATGTTTGGATTGTTTATGATAGTTATAAATGAAATTCGATTCTGTGAAAATTTGCACCCTATCATTTCAGGATCTGTGCTTTACATAAAAAGAGAATTCGATTTGCAGAGTCAGCCCACTATAGAAGGACTAATTGTTGCTATGTCCTTAATTGGAGCAACAGTTATCACGACATTTTCTGGCCCGGTATCCGATTTGGTGGGACGGCGCCCAATGCTAATAATCTCATCCGTGATGTATTTTTCGAGTGGTTTAGTGATGTTATGGGCTCCAAACGTATATATTCTCCTTTTGGCAAGGCTTTTGGATGGTTTTGGAGTTGGTCTTGCAGTCACTCTTGTCCCTGTCTATATATCCGAGACGGCTCCTCCAGAAATAAGAGGATCACTAAATACATTTCCTCAGTTCACTGGCTGTGTTGGCATGTTCTTGTCATACTGCATGGTCTTCGGAATGTCATTAATGGATTCACCTAGTTGGAGAGTAATGCTTGGAGTTCTCTCCATTCCTTCTGTCATCTACTTTCTGTTGGCACTCTTTTTCTTACCCGAATCTCCAAGATGGCTCGTAAGTAAAGGGAAGATGAAAGAGGCGAAGCGAGTTCTACAAAGAATTCGCGGACGGGATGACGTGTCAGGTATATTTCTTTCCTTTTAGAATGAAATTGTATACAAAACTTTTCACTCAAAGTGGATTTTTTTTTTGTTAACTAGAGTTAATTTAGAAAAAAGATGGTACGGTTACTTGTTAATCAGATTTTGTATTTATGTTAAATAATATTTAAAATAAAATAATTAAAGTTGATCTGATGTAAAAAAGTAGGAGACCGATGATATGAAGTGATGGTCAGTTAAAATTACGTGGATGTGATGTGTAAGAATGATTAAATGATATTATTTAATTATATTGATAATACTGAAGATATTGGGCAGGCGAGATGGCTTTGTTACTCGAGGGCCTTGGTGTTGGAGGCGATGGTACATCTATCGAGGAGTACATAATCGGTCCAGACGGTGACCTGGCAGATGCAGACGAACACGTTGCACAGAATAAAGAGCGTATAAAGCTTTACGGCGCTGAAGAGGGCCAATCATGGATAGCGAAACCCGTGTCGGGACAAAGTACTCTCGGAATGGCCTCCCGTCAAGGAAGCGTGGCCAATAAAAGCATGCTTATGGACCCAATGGTGACCCTATTCGGGAGCGTTCACGAGAAGCTCCCCGAGACCGGAAGCATGCTAATCTCGAACTTTGGCAGCATGTTCAACGTGCCCGAGAAGCAGCAGAACCAACCCTGGGACGAAGAAACTCTGCAGCGAGACCCTGCTGCTGATAACGCATCAGATTCGGGGGCCGAATCTGAGGACAACAACTTGAGGAGCCCGTTGCTTTCGCGCCAGGGTACAAATGCTGACAAGGACAGTAACATCAACAGTCTTGGTGAACAAGTGAGTGGTGTGGGAATCGGTGGTGGATGGCAGCTGGCGTATAAAAAGGACGAGAAGAATTCGAGTGGCCTTAAGAGGATATACTTGCACCAGGAGGGTGGGCCAGGGTCGAGGCGCGGTTCGCTTCTTGAAGGAGACTTCATCCATGCGGCTGCTTTGGTCAGCCACTCGGTTCTTCATCCGGATGCTATTTTAAGTCATCAGTCTATCGAAGCTGCGACTCAGACGAAACCTGAATCTGTGGCGAAAGGGCCGAGCTGGAGGGAACTTTTTGAACCGGGTGTCAAACATGCGCTCATTGTTGGTGTTGGAATTCAGATTCTTCAGCAGGTAATTTTAGTTTGCCTTCTTTTTCTTTTCCATATGTTGTGTTTTTGTATTTCTTAATAAGTTTTAGCATTTATACTTGCAATGATTTGCTTATATTGAGTTGCTGAATCAATGCTCCTCCAGTCAAGTTCAATTTAATGAGAAATGAACCATTGAAGCCAGACATGGCTCCATCTTTTGAGCTCTAGTTCTATATTCTGTAATCATTTTGGATTGATGTTTCCATGGATTGATTGTTTATGACATGTACATTGGAACTAAGAAATCAAGTCATATGAACCTATTATGTTCAAACAGATACAACTTATTTACTCTAAAATTGCACTTGTACGCATGTACATTATTATTTATCCTTTTTAAGTATTTGGTACACAGTTCTCCGGCATTAATGGAGTTCTCTACTACACTCCTCAAATTCTGGAACAAGCCGGTGTTGGAGTTCTCCTTTCAAATTTGGGCATTGGTTCAGAATCTGCATCTTTTCTTATTAGTGGTCTCACAACATTGTTGATGCTTCCAAGCATTGGAGTCGCAATGAGACTTATGGATATTGCTGGCCGAAGGTAATAATAATATGGCAAAGTTGTATTTTTAGTCCTGTTAGTTTAACACCATAGCATTTTTAGTCCCAAGATTCTAACTTTTTGCTTTTTGATCTTTAATTTAGTATTTTGTTGCAATTTCAATCCTTTGGGGACTGAAATTGCAAATTTAAAAGTACAAGACTTAAATTGCTAATAAAAAATTCATCCCAAAGATTTTTTATTAGCAATTTAAGTGCTATAATTTAAAATTTTGTTGCAATTTCAGTCGGACTGAAGTTGCGTTGAATTTTTAGATCATAGGACCAAATAGCAAAACGTTCCGATCTTAGGATTAAAAATGCCACTGAATCAAATCAATAGGACTAGAATTGCATTTTGCCTAATAATATTTACCCCGACATTGTATTTGAAACTATTTCTGGTTTATTTATTTCTTTCGACATCGTGATTCAAAATACGCTCACATTTTGTACGCTATGCAGGTGGCTTCTGCTGTCCACATTGCCTGTTCTGTTGTTGGCCCTTATCTTATTAGTCCTAGGAAATGTAATCGATCTTGGCACAATGATGCATGCCGTAATCTCAACCATTAGCGTCATCGTTTACTTCTGCTGCTTTGTCATGGGATTTGGACCAATTCCCAATATCCTCTGCTCAGAGATATTTCCCACTCGAGTCCGTGGCCTCTGCATTGCCATATGTGCTCTCACCTTCTGGATTGGGGACATTATAGTCACTTATTCTCTGCCAGTCATGCTTAACTCGATTGGCCTTGCTGGCGTTTTCTCCATTTATGCTTTCGTGTGCACTATTGCGTGGTTCTTCGTTTTCTTCAAGGTCCCAGAAACTAAGGGAATGCCGCTTGAAGTTATTACTGAGTTCTTCGCTGTCGGTGCAAAACAAAACACGAAGAATTGAGCAGAAATATTTTACAATCATAACAAGATGGTTAAAGTCATCAAACATTCGACATTTTTTTTTTTTTTTTCTCCCGGTTTTTGTTTTTATCAAGCAAGTGATGAGGTCGATCGACAATTTATGTATTGGCTGAAAGTAAAACGACTTTGGCTGAAAGAAGATAATTTGCTGATATAGTTGAAAGGTAGGGATACAAGTAGATGTCACCTTGCGGATTTATCCCTCATTTTTCCCTTCGATTTGTTGATTATCTATTCATATGTTTCTTCTAGTGTTATTCCATTCTTTGGCAACGTATATGGTGTAGATCAACGATTCATTTGGATATTATAGTTTCAAGAGATCGTTTTCTTTTTTCTGATCATTGTATTTATGCGAACTTTAATTTTCACGGCCTTCTTTTATTACTAGTACGTAGGTCGTGCGATACACGGGACAATAATTATGAATTGCATGTATTAAAGCAATGAAAGAATATTGATTATTATAAAACTAATTTTGAATATTAATATTAATTTTTTATCTTATTTTATGATATATAATAATGTAATATATAACTTATATATTTATTTAATTCATTATAAAATAGTTGTCATTTTAGAGTTCCTGTTGATAATTAAAGACAACGAAAATTTGACATATTAAAATATTATCAATAAATAATACTCACATAATATTTATCTCTCACTGTATTCCCTTACTCATACCTTTTTAAATAAGTTATGCTAAAATTGAAAAATTGTAGCAAATATTACAACCAGAACTCAATTAAAAAAGACTGTAATATATATTATTTTGAAGTTAAAAATTTATTGATTTTTAATTAAGTTAATATTATTATTTTTCTTATAATTATAATAATTTATATTATATTTTAAATTTTCTTTCTTATTTGTTAATTATGGATAAAATAAAAGTATATTTAATAAATAATTGAATATATTTTTCGGTATATAGCTCGTTACCAAATGAATAGAAAATCAGATGGATTTGTTATTAATGTTGAGATATCAATTCTACCAGTATAACACCCGTATATTATAAGGGTGGTTGTTAAAAAATTATTCTAAAATTTTAAAATTAATGAGAAACATTATTTTAAAATTTATTTACTTATTTATAAAAAATATATATTATTATATATTTTAGAATGACACTTGTTACTTGTGCGACTTGCATGTGTTATATTATAGTAATTTTTATAACTTATAACATATAACTACTTAAAATATAAATATATTAATGTATAAAAAATTATTATTGTTATAAAGATATATATAATTTACTTTTTTTATACATACAATATGTATGTTATATCGAAGCTCATCAAGAGATGATTAATTTGATATATTATATATGTAAAACTGATAAAAAAATACAAAAGTTATTAACTTTTAAAATATATTTACGATTCAATGGTTATAATAAGAAATGATATTATAATTTATATATATATAAAAAGAATTAACATTTATAAAAAATAGCAGCAAAAAAGTCAATGAGCATTTAATGCATACTTTATTTGAAAACTTTTTAAATATATGCATTAATTGTTTTAATATACACATTTCCAAATCAAATATGACCAAAAAGATTCTTTCCTTGAATAATTTTATTAACATATGCAATAATTTTATTGATATCCATTATAATAAACTATAATTTGATTTTTCGCGATTGATGTTGATAATATTTTGGTCAACATAAACATGAAAACAACTTTTAAGTCTTAATCATATTATTATTTTTTTTTCACAAATGTTGACTTTCATCCTAAAATATTTATAAACAATGGTAACATGTTAAATAATTCTCCATCTAACTAATTAGCCGAAATCAAGTTGGTGAATTAATATTTTTCGATAATATTTTTTAACCTTTATTTAATTATAAAAATAAATAATTTTTTTAAATTAAAATAATTTACCATTTAAGAGATAATGATCACATCATTAAATAATTTATTAATGGCTAAATAATAAAATTAAAATATATTAACTATTCTTTACATTTTCAACATTTGATTTATTTGTATATTATTGTCAACCATGATAATTTTATCATTTTTTTTATTTTTATTTGTTTCCATAATGAATTTATTGTAAAATATATATTGATATTGCATAGTATGTTAAATAAACTAATAAAAGCCTTAGGATGCAAATTAGAAAAATCTCTTGATTATGTAAGGTTTATTATTTGACAATTTGCTAAATCAATTTTTTTTTCAATTATTATGAGAAAATTAAATTCTAAAAAACATGTGTGTGTATTTTGTAAATATTTATAGAAATTTTTTTATTTTAAACTCATTACATAAACTAAGAAGAAGAAGACTACTTCTATAACCTTTATAAATAATAATAATGACATTATATGACAACCAATATTATAATAAAATAATAATTGACTATTAAATAAATGGTGAACAAGAATAAACATAATTTTTTTTTTCTTATATCGATGGATAAATATATGTTGCAGAATCAAATTTATATCAATATAACGTGTTAGCAGAATGATATATTAATAACATGTCAACGTTATGACTAAAATAAATTTCACTGATTGAAAGAAATGGAAAATTAATGATCCAACCCTGTTATTTTTTGTCAAAATCATACAAGCCATATAGATGACTCAATTAATATATGTGTCCCGTGCATCGCACGGGCAATGCACTAGTACAATTAGTACATGTAACATGACTATACATAATCAACATATAAATGGATAATCTGAACTTAATTATTTTTGGATTGGAAATAAACTAAAATCTACCCAAGTCTAATAACGAACCATGTAATTTTGCCACATAGAAACTCAAAGCATGCGAGCCTGCTACTTAGGCTCAGCACGATTTGAATTAATATATAGGGGGAATTATAGTATCGTGTTAATTTTATCAATAATATTTTTGCAGTTGATTTATATATATATATATATATATATATATATATTTGTACTTATAATTTGCAATGTTCTCAAGCATTTCGGTGTACATATGGCTGGATGCCCAACAAAACAAGAGAACGCATGATTTGTTATTAAGGATGAATATTGGTTTATTACTAATGGTAAAAAAATAAATTAGACCCCTTATAACGATACTTGTTTTTTTCTAAGAAAAAAAGAAATTAAATAACGAAGCTCAGTGACGTCCTGGCAACCGTTCTGTCCGCTTCAATGTCGCGCTCGCGACACACTTCACGCCCGCGACGTCCTGGTAACCGTTCTGTCAGCTTCAATGTCGCGTCCGCGACACCTCGCACCCACGCGTTGCCGACAATATAAAAGGGACTTGTTATAACAAATGTACATTCGTTATGGTTCTTTTTCGATCAAATACAACTATAACGATTCGACCTTCATTGTATAATACATTATAAACATATTACTCTCGTTATAAGTATAATTTTAGTCATTTTGAATGTAAAATAACGAATCTATAACGATTCTTCATTATCTATTCATGTCCAAAAAGAAAACAAGTATGGTTATTTCAAAAAAGAGTTTCGTTATGAGTGTTTCGACACTATAACGGGTTTTAAACTATCGTTCCAATGTGCTATATGACGAATATTGTGCTATATGACGAATATACAATCGTTATCATGTCATTCCATCAAAATAACATACGTTCGTTATGAAAAATAACCATAATGAATGTACATTCGTTACGAAACGGTATAACGACTGTACATTCGTTATGCAAAATCAAATGCAACATCATCTAAAAAAATGAAAAAAAAAA